CGTATGATTTTTCATTTTATTCATTTGGGGACTAATCCCTAAATTGAATAGAAATTGAACTAAGTATATATCTGATATCACTATAAATTCTTCCTTATAAAATAATTATATTGGTGATGATCCAACGGGCATTATTATCCATCTATCTAATTATATAGGTCTAAGAATAAAGACTCGATTCTTTGAAGCCACTCTCAAATCGAACAAAGATTGAATAGAAAAAGCCAAACTCACATAATTTCTCATTCTATTTATTCGGGGGCTTGTTCCCCAAACTTCGCCATCAGTTTTCCGAAGACTTAACCCACTATGGTACTCAAGATTTAATTATATTTTCTTTAGGGTGCATAATATAATCAAACCCTTCATATAACACTTTTCGGATATTATCATAATATTAATTAAGACCTGTCTGAATATCCTCTACGCTTGGCGCTGCTTCGCTTCTCTCTGGGCGTAACATGGTAGCCTCTATTAGAGCGCACTCGACAATCAATCTGAAGCAGATTGATTTGGTCTGGTGTCGGGCGGCAACCCTTTCATTAGGTAATACTAGCTGCAGGCGTTATAATTATAATCATTGACATCACACCTTGCACACACACAGATACACACACAAACACAGAGAGCTCGAGCCGGCGCGGCGGCAGGTGCTAAACGAATTTTATGGCTTGACGCCACGAGTGAGAAACAAAGCCAAAGCAATTGGCGCATAACGCAAAGGAGTTGCCACGCCCACAGCTATGAGTGAGAGGTGCTAATCAAGGATCAGCGATGTCTATCATGGCCAGGAATTAGCAGGAATGCGTTAAACCCCAGCCCAAAGGCAATTAATGTGCATCATTTTCAAAAGAATCCGCCACATTTCAGCGAGTGAATCTTCGTCTTTTATTTACGATCAGCTCGATGCATGATCTGGCCAGGCCGTCGACGCGGGCCGTTAGAATTCACACTTCAACGGCAACGCCGCCGCCGGCGTTGGCAAACGGCGTGTGTGTCCTGTGTGCTCCGAGTTTGCCGACAAAGCGCCGCAGCGCAGCAAAGAGCAAGAGGAAGAGCTAAAAGAAAAACCACAGATCATGCACATAATGGGCATCCTTTGTTTCGCCTCTGGCAGCGCCTCGCTGAAAGTCAAACGTTGCTCCGCTTTTATCCTTGGGCCATGTTATCCTTTGCCGCGTCATGCGCGTGCCCGCCCGCATAACCACACACTCGCACACACACACACACACACACAAAGACACTCGATTGGTCAGTTTGAGCCTGCAATTAGTTAATTTCTGCTTTTTGGCCAACTGGCTCTTTCTTTGTAGGCGTTTTCGGCTCACACGTTATTAATTCATTTTTAACCGTTCCGCAGGGGAGTGATATATTTGTACATATTACTCTTCTCACCTCGATCTGGGCAGCCAGCTGACCGGCAACTGTCCAGCTTGGCCTGGCAAGTAGCCGCCCCAATTAATCATCTTTCTCTCACACTCTCTGGGATTTCATCTCAGCTCGGAGTCGCGGCTTTAACCGCGCCGCCCTTTTGTGGTAACATTTGCTGTGTAAACAGTTGCGGTTGATTTTTAATTTAGTTTTCTTGTTTCAGACACTGTTTTTGGGCCCAACAGCTGTTGCCATCGCTTGCATTCCGGCCCAAAGGGGCTTTCGTTTAAGCTGACATATGGGCGTTAGTGGTAATTTTTCAGTGGAGTTTATTGGAAACATTTTCGGAATCATTAGTGCTGCATTAAGGGCATCTATATAGTTTTTAATGAGCCATTTTATATACCAAACGTCTTACCGACATATGACTTCTGGCAATTTATTTTACTTTATCTGTTTTCTTATTTGTGCTAGCAATCGCTCATCGTTCTATTAGTTTTTTATTCGTTTGTTTTACAGTAGTTAAGCTGTGTACCAACATTTCGAGATCTATTCCAAACAGATCCTGAGATATTTATATACTTTTAAATTTTAACTTATTAATTTCAATTGAATGGATTTATTAACTTGAAAATGTGAGACTTTAAAGGCAAATATTTTTGAAGCCAACCCCATTGCTATTCGTCACAGTTGTTAAACTTAAAGTATGCCGCAACAAAAAATTAAATTCTTGAGTTTTTTGCGAGCCATCACTCAAGTCCATTCCTTCTCTTTTTTTAAGCCGCATGTTTCGTTTGCAAATGAATTTTCAACTTGGACTAGATGTGCTCGACAGCTAGGCAAATATTTCTTCTATCCTTCAGCCAGCCGTCTGTGTGGCAGCAGAAAAAAATTCCCACAAAAAATGCCAAAGATGGGCGGAAAAAAATGGAGAACATTCGCAAAATATGTAACAAGCTAGATCCATGGCCTATACTACGCTTTATTTATTTCGAAAAATAATGTGAATTGAAAAGCGAGCACATAAGGCACAATCAATTCGAAAGGGAACAGGGGACAGGGGACAGGGCGGCAGGAAGGTGGGGTGCGCAATGAAAGTGTAAATATTAATAAGCGGCAGCCGACAAAGGCCGCGCAGACTGGAAGCCCCAGACAAAAGAGGCGACCGCACACTTGCCATTCGAAAGTTCAATAGCGAGATACAGATACAGATACCCAGCCACACAGTTGCAGATACAGATACATCAATGCCGCAGCCACAGATACGAACAGTAGCAGTTTGAGTTGTCATAAGTTTTGAGTGATTGCCCCGCAGCGAAGCCACACACACAGCGTGGCGGAGGCCCAAACAATAGCAGCGCAATTATTGCCAAATGGCACACAGTGAGAGAAAGAGAGAGAGACGAACACCCACAACCAGGCGAATGTATCTCACAGATACATGCGACTGGCAAACACGTACGCCAAAGAAATATGCGCAACTTGACAACTTCTACGTTCGCACAGTGGCAACAACAAATTCAACTACAACTTTAACTTTCTGTTATTGCTGTTGTTGTTGTTGTTGCTATGCTTTGGCCAAGGCCAACTGCGCTTTTGGCCAGCCGACAACACTGCGGCCGCATAATTTCCATGCGCGCACACGCGGCGTATGCGCAACATGGACAAAGTTCTTTGATTTCGACCGCCCCGACTGAGCCTCAAATTAACCAAAAGTCATGAACTAGGAAATTAACTAGGCTTTTTGCTCGTGCGAAAATCTTTTAGCCAGCTTCCCATCTGTACACTCACTCACACTTGAGGCCATCTCTTTCTCATGAATATTCATTTTATTTTGTTGGTCTGCCTCCTGGCCTGTACCTAATTAACAGCGCAGCAACTACTTAGGCCAATTGTTGTGCATTTATTTCTGCTTTAGTAATTAAATGAACAACCATATGCCAAGTCTTGGAATAGTTAATAAGCAGCTGGCGCTGGAACTGGGTATTCGTTATAAGAAATCGTCTATTAAATGGAGGGAAAAAGAAAATATATCTAAGAAGAAGATATCACAAAAAGGTTTTCCCTTGAATTTTACACAATTTTGAAAAATTAATTCAAATGCTCGTCTGTTTTTACGAAAACCCATTAGCTATTTATCAGTACTTCCACATCAATTAAGCAAGTGTTTTCATTTGTGATTATCATCTTCACGTTTTCCATGCATGTCCTTTCAACACAGCCAGTGTTGATGCAGGTCCTGCGTCATGCTGATGTCTGGGTGGCATAAGAGCTTGTGGTTGAAGGCCTTTGTAAAGGCGAGCTTTTTTTAATGTGCAATGCGAAAGAATGCAAAAAATACAAACTATCCCGCCGTCGCAGTGCCCACGCCAAAGTCTGGCCATAAGGAGGAGCCAACTGCACGTAGAACTTGGTTGTTGACATTGGCCTTGTTGCCGTACTCTGCGGAATGTGTTTGTGTGTATGTATAACACGGGTTTTCTTCGTAATATTTTCCATTGCTGCCACTGCATAATGTTCTTGGATTTCCGCTGGGAAAATTTATGAAAAACAGCAAGAAAAACCTTCAATTACACAGAGTTCTGCTTAATGCTATTCAAAGCGAAAACTTTTACTTGATTCTCGTAGCATGTCACCATAGATACACAACGCTTTTAACATATGCATCAAAGTGATCTTAAAGAAGGACCTAAACATTTCAATTTTTATGATAATTTAAATGGTCCATAACATCACCTAGAATATATAAAAAGATATTCTAGGTAATTATAATACCGTCTTGAGTTCTATAACTCTTCGCTAAGCAATTACATTTCTAAGGTCCGTGTATAATACCTTATGTATAGTTAAGATGTCTATAGCTCCTCTCAATGGTTGTTAAGAGTAGCTATTCAAATTTACTCACGATGCAAACAGGAAACATAAAATACCAACAAAAGTCCAACATCAACAACAACCAACAGTTAAGTAAGAGCCTGCGAGAGCCTAGGAATGATATGTTGAAAGAAAAAAATAGCTAGTCATGCAAAGATCGCATAACTTCAAATCAAGCCCAAGCACGTGTAATATAAATAATTATAATGGAGTCTAAGATCCACTTAGATCCACTTAGAAGTCAGCTCTCTAAGCCAGGGATCAAACGGGGCGGCGCTACGTCCAATCGCAGCCATGCTAAGAGTACCCATTGGTTCTCTTTGGTGCAGCTGCTCTAACAAACGCACACACACGCACGTACACAAACGCACAGCGAGAGCAGCGGCCAGAGCTAGTGCTGCACTGCTCGCACACGCAGCGGCTAACGATCCGCTGTAAGCGCTCTTGCTGTGAGCAGCTATGGCTGGCTCGCTCGCACCAGCCACCCTCGCCGCGTGGGCTAGCTGTTTGTTGTTTTTATTCTTGAACGGAAAAAACTTGTTTTTGTTTGTTGGTGTTCTGCATGCATGAAGCAGCGCTGCCGTCGCCGTTGCCGTTGCTGTTGCCTGCGCGTCGTCTGAGAATCTCACAAATTCGTTTTAGTCTCGGCTGCTGACCGTTTCAAAATCAGTTTCGAGCTGTCAAGCAAACGAGCAGCATCAACAAACAGCAGCGTTGCGCATGCGCATGACACAAACAACAAGACTAACCAAAACAAATTTGAAAAAGTAAACTGATATAGAAGAAGAGACTTGTGCAAATTAAAAGTGTTGGTGAACGTGAAAAAGTTAAAGAAAAACAAAACAGATATTCAACAAGCCAACTCGAACGGATTATATATATATATATAGATAGATATGGCTGTATCGGCACTCAATATGACACCCTATTATGCTGGATATCCCTTTCAAGGTAAGCATGCGACAGCGATCATCATTATGAACAACGCTCTATTACCAATTACCACAATTACGAGCATAAAGCGTCGTAGAAAAATGTGCCCGATCATCATCATGATCATCATGGTGATCATATGGGGCAGCGCTTTCGCCGGCTCCAAACGAGAGATCATTACCCGCTCGTCGGCTCGTCTGCTGGTCCGCTGGTCCGCTCGTCCAACAATCATGATCAGCTTTTTGACTTATTGATTGTGATCACAACTTGCAGCCACAACCTTTTCCAGCCAGCCCGGCGACTCACTGTCCAGACTTTGCAGACTTTTTGGCGCGCTCAGCGTCTTGAATCTTGAGTCTTGACTCTTCCAGTCAACAGTCTCGAGTCTCGAGTCTGGAGTCGGCGCAGCTGCTTTGATCTTGGCTCAGCGTCTGCTGTTGGGGCTCTTGTGTAGCACGTAGCAGCAACGTCAGCGCCCCAAAACAACAACAACAAAATCGACAACAACAGCAACTGAGCTGGAGTCTTTGGGCATTTTGGGGCTGGCCTTTTATGCTCTGCAACGTACTGATATTAGCTGGCACAGCTGGACGTCTGTCTGTCTGTCTGACGATCTGTCTGTCTGGCTTATGGATTATTAGTTTGATTTGATTGCATGGGCCACAGCTGCACAGTGATCGGCATTTTCAATGCCTACTGCTCACTTTTCTCTACCGAGCTGCAGCATTTTTGGCCCACGCAAATTGGCAATTTGCGCTTTGTTATGTTTACATGCGATTGGCAACAAGACAAATGGCCATCGAATTGTCTTAGCCCTAGACAATAGATCGTGCGAACTGATCCTCGCACTGATCCTGCCGCGCACAATGCCCATGCTGCATAATTGGATTACTTACTGCCGCTCAATCGAGCACGCGAGAAGAAAAGTTAATTGAAGATCACTTGAGGATCACCTGAAGATCGTCCCAAATGCACTCAAGCTGCCCACACGCAGAAAGATTTGTAAAACAAGAAGCTTAGAGAAATTGGCAAAGAAGGTTCAGGAGTCTTCAGACTCGAGCGGAGAATTTATTTTAAACAACACTCGGAGATCACTTGAGCTAATCTCGTCATTTCTTTTTCTTCTTGCTCTTTACCAGGACAGGGACGCGTCAATCAGCTTGGCGGCGTCTTCATTAACGGCCGCCCTTTGCCCAATCACATACGCCGCCAAATTGTGGAAATGGCCGCCGCTGGCGTGCGTCCTTGCGTCATTTCGAGGCAGTTGCGCGTCTCGCACGGCTGCGTCTCCAAGATACTCAATCGCTTCCAAGAGACAGGCTCCATTCGCCCGGGCGTCATCGGCGGCAGCAAGCCGCGCGTCGCCACGCCTGACATTGAGGCCAGGATCGAGGAGCTGAAGCAATCGCAGCCGGGCATCTTCAGCTGGGAAATACGCGCCAAGCTCATCGAAGCCGGCATCTGCGATAAGCAGAATGCGCCCTCGGTCAGCTCCATTTCGCGTCTGCTGCGCACCACTTCGGGCTCCGGATCGGGCCATGGCACTGGCTCACACAGCATTGATGGCATCCTGGGTGGCGGCGCCTGCTCCGCGGGCAGCGAGGATGAGAGCGAGGACGACACCGAACCCAGCGTTCAGCTGAAGCGCAAGCAGCGCCGCTCGCGCACCACCTTCTCCAATGACCAGATCGATGCACTGGAGCGCATCTTTGCGCGCACTCAGTATCCGGATGTGTACACCAGGGAGGAGCTAGCCCAGGGCACTGGCCTGACCGAGGCACGCGTCCAGGTCTGGTTCTCCAATCGGCGTGCGCGTCTGCGCAAGCAGCTCAACACACAGCAAGTTCCCAGCTTTGGCAGCAGCTCCACAGCTGCCTCATATGGTTCTGCTCCTGCCTCCAACATGGGCATGGGTCTCTACAGCTCGCAGGCGTGGCCAGCAGCCAGTGGAGCTACTGCCTATGAGGCACATGCCGGTGGCTATGGTGGCTCCACGGCCTCCATGTCACCCGCCAGCACCAGCAGCGGCAGCAGCTCTGCCGCCCACAGCCCCGTGCAGAGCCAACCCCAGACGCAGACACACGCTGCCGTCGCCAGCAGCAGCTTTATGAACTCCGCCTATGGGATGGGCACAGCCAGCTCTGGTTATTCCGCCTCGGCTGGAGCCTCCGCTGCTACGTACTCCATGCCCACAGCTGCCGCCAGCTCGGCTGAGCAGCTGCGCTCACAGTTTGCCTCCGCTGCCGCCTCGGGCTCGCATCATCCCTCGTCCTGGGACAGCTACAACTTTGCCGGCTCCTTCTTTCCCAGCGCCAACGCCAATCACATGGGCGGCTATCATCAGTCAGTCGCTGCCGAGCCCAAGAACTCCATGATGCCAGCTGCTCCAACCTATCCCTACTTTGGCTTCTAGGCCAACCAAATGCCCAGCACTTGCTCCAGTTTCCCAGTTTTAAGCTTCACTTCTCTTCTAGCTGGCTCTATTCTTTAAACTGTGCCTGTTTTTTTCTAATCCTTAACTATTTGAAGAGTTTTTAGTTAAGAGCTTAAGACTGTTTAAGTTTAGAGGTTACGTTTAGATTTTTTAAAGGTATTTAAGTAATTCTTAAAATAAGTGCCAAAATGCTGAAATCAAAATAAATAAAATTATTAAAATGAATGAAAATAAAATTGTTTTTAATATGAGTTTGGCCTTCCGATACAAATGGATGTCAAATATTTATAGCTCTAATAACTGAGAATTTATTTACTGCTAATTGGAAAACTAATTTAGATAAAATGTCATGCATTCTTCCGGAATGTCATAAATATTCAAAATCAAGCCTGATCCAGATCTGCTGAGAAAATAACCTAGGCAATTTTTATTACTAATATTTATCAATTCTCAATGAATTCATTTGCATTCATTAAGCTTGGTAATATTATTTATTGTTTAAAGGATCAACTATTATTTTTTTTAACAATTTTACCAATATAGTTTTCTTTAATTTTCTGGAAATAACAAAATTCAATTTTCTCAACTTATGATATACTAGAAGAAATTACCCGGAGTTGTTTAAATAAGGACAGTATTGCTTGAGTCTAGATATTTATGTTTGGAAACAACAATACTAAACTCCATTTGCTAAACTTATAATATACTAGAAGAAATTACCCGGCGTTGTCCACTATGCTAAATGCTCCAAAAGAAGCCCCATCTAAATCTATAAATTAAATTTTTATTATTATTTTACTTCTTTATTATTATTTTTATTAATATATGTATGTGACTGGTTCAAATTTCGAAATATCGTTATTTTTTCATACCCTGTTGCTAAACATATTTAAGTCTCTCATCTTATTTAAGAGACTATAGAGGACTAAGCGCCTGTCCCATGTACAATATGTTGGAAAATACAATAGCTTCATACTCCATTAAACTAAGGACATGGCAAATGTCCTGAAAAGGACAAACGTGGACCACACAGAAATGTGGACATGTCCAAGGAGCCACAACAGGTTCAAGCCCACCCCAGCTAATCCTTCAATATCGTACAGAAATTGTCCCCTAAACTGACAGGACGACAATAGAGCAGCTAGTTACGATCCAGCCAGAGCTATAGATCTATGTGTTCTCATACCCCGACTGGATGAGAGCACAAAAAGCCAAACTCATGAGCTGACAATTAAACAATTAGAGACAACACGTTTTGCGACTCGATAATACGAAAATAATTTACGAAATTCCCGATTGTCTAAAGTGAGCCGACGTCTAGCGACAAAATAGAGCAATTGACAATGGGAGATGAGCAAAATATGAGCGACCACCAACGTCAGTGCGGACCCCTTTCAAGAAGCCGCCTTGTGGGCTCGCCAAAGATGAGAGGCCCGCGCCGAAGTCCGGGCAGAGCGGGAGTGGACAAAGCCATTGACAAAATGCGGCCAGGATGCAGGGAGGGTGTAGGCAGCTCGATGTTGTAACTAGTTGTAGTAGTCCAGGACCTGCTGGACCTAGTTATGACTTTCTTGGGTGGCTTAGGTAGCTCTACCGCTGTAGGACCCTCAATTATGTGTGCACAGCGGGCGTCGCACTTACCACCTAGAATGAATACATATATTCCTCCAAGGGTAGATGCTCGCCCGAGTGCAGCGAGTATCTAAATGAAAACATCAATTAGTTCATATCGCTTGGGTCCTCAGTGTCTGCTTGCCTGGCTAGCCTAGGGCAGGTCCTGCCCGTACCAAGACGACGACAGGTTCGCGCTCTCTCTCTCCCTTCCTCTCTATCTCTCTCTCTCTCTCTCTCAGTCTATATATCTCTCTCCCCTTACAAGGGTGATAATGTGTGTCAACTGTGACAATCATAATGGATCGCTGCCTAGGGTCTTTAGACGCTCACAGGACCTGCTCGGTAGTGCGAGTGCCACTTTGTCATACAGTAGCCCTGCGGCTTCTTCTTTAGCTTCTCTCTTATCCTAGGCCACCAACTTGGATATTTTTATACAAATTAAATTTGTGTGGCAAGTTGAGAGCAGGACCTGACAATAACTGAGCCTCTTCCTTTTGCGGCTCTTTGAACAAAACTGTTGAAAGCCACTCCCCGACCTCTGAGCGCTCGTGATTTATGCGTTTTTGATAGTTGCCCAAGCCAAGATCGACTGCCAGCCCAGACGGTAGCATGCGAATTTTTACTTGATTTGAGCCAACTTCCTGTGTGGCCCAAACTGAGTGCTGAATAGCGAGCACTCGGCGTCCGGTAGCTGGCGGGCAATATGTAGACGCTTTGTCTCAAATTGCCGCATTTTGATTGATGATCCGTTTCTGCCGTGATGAACGATCCCAGCGCTTTTTGTGTCTGCGAAGGCGTTCATAATGTGAATTGTGATCGGGTTGAAATGGTGGTTAGAAACGCATTGTGGGAACTGGAAGTTATTTTATTTTTTCCAAAAATTTTTATTTAAAATCTGCCCGCTTTTTGGTCAAAATTTTTCTAAATATGATTCTTTTAAGTTTTCTCTATAAAGAGCATTCATATGTGCCTTGCATTTTCTTAATCTGTCACGAGCTGTTCTTCAATTTGATTTCTCGTTAAAGTACCACAAGCCACATTCCAAATTCACAACACTTTCAGGCCATTTGGCACCTGTGCCGCAATTTCGCGCCCAAATCGCATGTGTCGAATCGGAATCGCAACCGTTAATTGCCGCCGAGCGCCAGTAAATAAACATGTATGCCCAATATGACAGCCACAGACAATTTACAAGTGCTGATGATGAACTGATGAAATTTTCCGCTAATTTTTCACGTACCCCGGCGCTCAATTCAACCGCACGCCAAAAACAAAACAACGCATACATAAACATATATAAATTTATCATATATTCATTAAAAATTATTTACGTTTATTAAATAGCGCAGCCAAAAAAAAAACACCAACAACTGAGGACTGAAGATAAAAGATATGCGTTCATGTGTTTTTTTTGGGTGCGTTGCGAGCGTTGATAAAGCATCAAGACCAATCTGATAAGGAACGCTTTAAATTCCGTTACGTAACGCAAATTTGGAGCGTTACGATTCGCGTTGGCCGTGTGCGACAGAGATGGCAACAACAAACCGAGTTCACACCATGTTCGCATGACTGTTCCCATTTCTGTTTTCGGGGTTGTCCGTTTGCCGCTTCCTCTTTGGTCGGCCAAAACAACATCGCCCAAAGGCGATTTACGCATGAATTTTGATCGATTCGCATTGAAAATTTGATAAACCAGCTATTTGAGTTGGCCGTGTGAGCTTTTTGGTACTGCCGGAAGGGACCTGTGAGACCTGGGTGAAACACCTTTTGCAACAGGTGCTCGATACTGAAAGAAGTGTCAAGATAATAGCATTAGCTTATGTTCCGGCTGGAATATATTCTACACAGAAACCTTGCTCTTTGCAAGGATATAGAGCGGGATGGGCACCTCTTATTCTACTTTCATTTTTTCCCTGAAATTAATATTGGGGGGAAGTAGTTGACGAAAAAACAACAGCAGACGCATCCACACTTGAATTGAACTTTAGATTGAAGTAATTGAATATGTTTTTTTGTAAACATAATTCAGATTTTTTTTTGTTAATTTTTTACCAGTAAATCGCTTGAGTAGCGCAGTGTGCTATTCGTTAACAGTCACTGAGTTTAGGGATCGAGCACGCAAATATATTTTTGCATTGTAAATACTGGAGGACGAAGCTTTTAACTATCAATCAAACTTTTGAAATAACTCTGGCAACTATGGTCTCCATACTTGGATTCGAAATCGTGGGCTTCGAGCCCGAATCCTGCCTGTGTTTAGTTGCCTTCAATAACTGCGTGCCTTACACAGCTTTTTAACCCAGGATTTCTACAACTTTTATTTGGCTTATGAGATTATTTTTAGAACGTTAAATTCCTTAAACTTAATTTTAATAAAATAGCTTTCAAGCTGGTATCTTTCAAATATTTATGCTTGAACATTTGTTTAGTTAACGGAATATTTTCATTTAATCCGCCTGTTCCATAATTGAGTTAGCTATTTATAACCCGTCGACTTGCTGAGCATGAGTTTTGGCTGTTTGCCAATGTCTTTATATCGCCGGCCTTAACAAGCGGCTGGGCGCAACGCCCGCGGCAAGCTGCGGCACCAACGAGTCTGGTCCGTGGCAGCGATGACGTAGTTGCAACGTGCAACCAAATACTTGCTGCATTATAATTCAATAAGCGAACCCTCAGCCAAGAAACGACTCTACAAAGCTGCAGCTGTGCGCCGTTGCGACTGGCACTTGGCTAGAAGACGGCAGCCAACTTGTCTGCCACAGCAGATCGGCAACATAGTTATTGTTGTTGTTGTTTGCTGTTGTTGTTGTTGCTGTTGTTGCTGTTGTTGTTGTGGCCAATTGCAGAAATCATCAAAGTGGCAACATGTAATTTGATCGCTGATGGTGGCACCACCGTCGGCGAACTGCTTTGAGCCTCGATCGGTGATCAGCGATCGTTGATCAGTGATCAGTGATCGGTGATCGGTGATCGGCAGTTTAAGCGAGCGTAAAATCTGCCAGAAAAGAAGGGCTACGATTTTGTTTTTGGTTTCTTTTCCTTTTTGGGGGAAGAAAAGAATGTGGCTACAATATTCTTTTATTGCAACAATGATCGTACTTTGATTATTTATTAAAGCCTGTTTTGGGGTAGAGATCGCTGGACGCGATCGGTTGATGAAATTGCTTGATCAGGTTGCACAAATTGAATGTTATTTTGCAAAATGCGCACACGTAGCTAGCCGTGCAATATGCGATCAGCCAGGTGAGCTGCAGATCGGGGTGAAACAGAGGATCCCCAGTGGGCAGACTGTAGACTGGATGACTGGCTGACTGGTAACTGCTCTGTGGATTGGCATAGCGCGCGAAGATTCTTTGATCATTTTACGCTCATTTTGCGGCACACACACACACTGGCACTGACACTCGCTGATCTTTAGCATATTTTACGCTCAACTTGTGATCAAACCGTAACTTTGGTGTCGTACCTGCTCCACGTTTTTATTTTATTTTATTTTTTTCCAACTGAAAACCAAGCTCCGACTATGACTCATGGCCCATTTGGCTGTACCATCCATCAGGGTAACTAGCCGCTATGATATATTTGC